AGCATGCGTTTTTTTTTTCATTTTATTAGTGGGTAATGAATTTTTTACCACGATTTTTTGGTATATTTTTATTTTATTATTTATTTAGATATTTTGAGATGCCACATAATACCATATAAATTAAATTCCAAATAAAAGATGCCATATGAATGATGAGGTGGCTTCATGAAAAGCCTTCAAACACAATTTTTAATATATATAGATTTATTAATCCATGAGACCCACTTACAATATATGTTTTTTACGCCATAATAAAATATTACCATTATTCTTGAATTAATTTCTATTGATTGTTATTGTTACCAATCAAAATTAAAATAAATTATTGATTAATTTTAATTAATAAGGTTTTTTATAAACTAATAAAATTTGAGAAAAACGCTATTTTTTTAGAATATGTGTTATCTAATTATTATTTTTTATTTTTGGAATCAACTAATCTTAAAAAATAACATATTTTTCATATATAAAATTAGTGGAATGTTTATTTTTTTAGAATATGTGTCATCTAATTTTTATTTTTATTTTTAAAATCAACTAATCTTAAAAAAATATATAATATTTTTCTTATATAAAATTAGTGGACTGTTATATTTTTTTAGAAGATGTGTCATCTAACTTTTTTAAATCTTTTTTCATGTATAAAAATTTATGATAATAAAATGAATTTATATATATTTAATAAAGATTTTAAGTAACCAATGAGAATTTAAAATTGTGCCACATAGATGATGACATGGAGATGAGGTGGCTTCACCATATTCCTTTAAACTTCTCTATTAATATATACTAGGCAATAACCCGTGCATTGCGCAGACTACAAATATATATATATATATATATATATATTTAAAAATTTATTATTAGTTTTCGAAAAATATATATATATATAATATATTTTTTTTAAATTTATTATTAGTTTTTAAATTTAATATATTATGTTTTGTATTAGAAGTTATAATTCATATCTCTACATCAAATTGATAAATATTTTTTTAAAATATCGAGATAACGCTATGTTATGTTTTTTTTTCAAAAAATATTCATAAATATTTTTTGTATCTATATTTTCTTATTTTATAATATAAAATTAATAATTGAAATTTGAAATATCATAACAATGATTTTATAAATTTTATAACTCGATAAAAGAATCTAACTGTTGGAAAACCGAGAGTTATCTAGAGAATGCAACTATTGATAGCAATACCATGTTAATTTTATTTCACCCTTCACATATAAACAAATCAAATACACAATATTTTGCAATACACACTCAACATACACTAACAATACAATTTTATATGTCAAAGATGTTTCACAACACATACAACACACATATAACGTTTTCTCAAATTTCTCTCACAATAGATAAATCCGCACTATTCTTCTTTTGTGTTTGATTTTCTATGTTCTTTGAATAAAGACGTAGGATTATTATTTTATTTCATTAATCTCTTTGTTCTGTTAGTTTCTTTTTGTAATCTAAATATAAATTTAATTAGGGTTAGAAATCCAATAATAATGTATTTGGATTAATAACATTTAACCATAAAATATTGGTATACATGTATACAATTAGTGACATACCCATAAAACTTTTTGAATGGGATAACAATAACATATATATAATACAAAAACTAATAATAATATATATCGTCTAAAAATATTTACAACCTACAACTCAATTTTATTATTATTTTTTATTTTTTTAGCTATATCAATAATAACTCATATTACACTATAATTCAATGTATTTTTATAAACTAAGATTTTTTATTTTATAAAAATAAATTAATATTATATTATATTTTTTGTTATGTATATTTTATATCTTACACTTAAATAGAGTCTAGTTATAATTCATATATATATGAAATAGAGTCTAGTTTAATTATGTCTTTTCATTTTGTTTGGCATATATTTTGTTGAAATTGTTTTTTATTATTCTTATATTTCAAAATTATTTAATATGATCGTTTAAGACCCGTGTTGAGATCTTCGTTTATATGATTAAAGAGTTGACATATTCTCGTGTCACATATATCATCATCTTCTCGTAAAAAATCAATTTTGAAATTTGAAATATATTTTAACATTTTCTGTTGCAATTAGGAAAATTTTTAAAGTTTGGCATAAATTTTTGTCAAATTGAATTTTTGTATAGTTAATTAGAACTTTAACACAAATTCGTACAAATTCGTGTGGTAATACATTTTCTCTGATATATAAATTTTTTTTTGTTAAAGTTAGTATGCGTTGAGATGATAGAACCAAATCTAATATTATAAATTGAATCATTTATTATGGTATTAGGAAAAAAATTATCTAAAAAATATAATATTTATACACTAACATCCTCCACTCTCCCTCACTCCCTATATATTTATTTTTATCTCTATTATATTAATTTTATAATATTTATATCCTATTCGAATATCAAGAGTTTATTTTTCAAAAACAATATGTGTAATGAATTATGCTTTTATATATAAGATAAGATGGAATAAACCATTTGCAAATAAAAAGATCATCATATTCTCCATAAATATAAATACATTTATAGACAACTTCAAGAATATATATTTATAATTACATATATTGTCTATGTATCAATTTTAATTATTAATGTATTTTCAAAATTAAACATTTAAGTTTTTCCTATTTATAGGCATGTTCATGGGTGGTTGTGAAAACTTGAATGATAGTTGTTTTAGTTTTTGGATTCTAAAAACTCCAACCATTCAAGGCCTTTGTCGGCAACAAAAATAATATGTATCAATTTTAATTTTCTCTCATTTAGTTGAATATAGTAAAAATAAGAAAATACCCATTAAATAACAATTTTTAAAATTTCCAAAATATGTTTTCAATGAGAATAATAAAATTCTTCAAATAATTTTTTTTCAAAAAATAGTTGATTAGAAAATAAATACAAGTCATTATCATGAAACTAGGCAAAAAAAAACATAAGGAATAAAATCGGAGAAATGTGGAAGAATATTTTGGAACTTTGAAAATTGAGGTTGTCTTGCAACGCGAAGTATATTCAATAAACCAAAAAAGCAACTCTTGCAGTATGAGAAATCTTTTTTTCTTACTTAAAATTGAATATTATTGAAAAGTTTAAATGATATATAAAGAATGTTAAAGATGAACTCTTAGAAAAATATAGAAATACAATTGAAAGTTTACAATAATCTACTTCACAATAATAATAATAATAATAATAATAATAATAATAATAACAATAATCTGCACATATAACAATGACTTATCGTACTATATATATATATTAGCCATGAGTTTTTAACTTTAAGAAAATATTGTTCTCTTTTAAAGGGTCTTATGGAACTCTCTCGTTAATAGGAAGCTCTACCACGTCATCATCATAAACCCTGGAAAAAATATTGTTTAAATTTATAGACAAACGAACCATCCATTTGATGTTTCTCACTCGACAACAAAAATATCTAACAAAATATACAATGAAAGAAAATTAACCATAAAATTAAATGAAAACTCTAAAAAATAAACTATTTACTACATTCTTACCTAGCCAATGTGAACGTCTTTCATTGACAGCGGCTTGCATTTTAAGATTCTTTAACTTTTACCTATTGTGTCATATGACAACGGCAAAAACCCAAAGACATAATAACATTATACAAAACAAAATAGATTATATAAGCACTACATTTTCTATGCTAAAAGTAAAATCTGCAAATTAAGAATATTACAACATTACCATGTAAACCAGATTTCAAACTAATTCGATCGTAGAAAAAACAGTTCAAAGGTAGAAAAAAAGAATACAATATGAGAAAAAAGATTTGATTAGATAAAAAATTCAGATGAATAAATTAATAATTTTTTCACCCGGGGACTACAAACCATTTTGCTCATCGTTGCTCTCTATCACCGACCAACTCTCGTCGCTGAATCCATTCATTACTTCATTGAAATCTCTAGTCATTCGGATTTTTTCGATTCTTATAAAAAAAAATCCCAATAAATTTGATGTTTCAAGTCATTTAATATATACAATCACACAGTGCAGATAAAATTACTTGTTGAATCTTTGACCGAATGCTCTAAGAGCTGCATGGCTTCTTCTCCACCTTGTAATATTAGACTAAATTTTTTTGAGAGATTTATATCAAATAACGAAAAGTTTTAAGGAAAAAACCGAGCGATTATTACGGATAGAAAAACGTATCGCTAATTAAAAAATATAAATTGAATCATACCTCAAGATGATCAACGATGCGAAGAATGAAATCATCTCCTTCTCACGGCATCGCTCTGATTGGTTCCAAGTATTAGAAAAGTGGCGGATGGATGATTTTTTCCCTTGGAAAAATATTGTTCAAGGAGATCACCATGTGAAAGAACATAAAATCTAATCTAATTATATAATAGTAAACATCTTTCATATTATAAATGTGAATTCATGTATGTATTTATTATATACACAAAAAATATGAAGACTTTTCAACTACATTTTATTAAACATTAAAATATTGAATATAATTATTATTATATATAAATATCTCTTACGTATAAACTATTTAGTTATTATAAATAAAGAGTAAAAAAAAGAAGATATATATGTGCCATAAAATGGTAGACTAAATTTCCGTGTGACTCCTTGGACTTTGTAACTAATGTATCCCATAATTAAACTATTTTCAATGAATGTGTATTCTCTTCTTTTTTTTTTTTATGAGATTTGATTTTTGAAAATCACATAATAAAAACTTTTCATATTCTTAACAAAAAGGGACACGTGTCAAACCCCCCTTATACAAACTCTACTTTTATAGATATGATAGATTTCATTAATAAAAATGGTTTTTTTTCCATTACCGTTATAAATATTAATGTGTTGATTTTCGAATTCTTTGGACACTGTTTGCTCTTTTGGTTACAAAGTTATGTTTTTTTTAATTATTCTTTTTAATTGTATTATAGAAAACGTTTTATGTATGCGGAGTTGATGTTAGGGATGTCAAAATGGATTCAGCTTGCGGATTGATCTGTGAATCAGTCCATACTTTTCCGAATTAGGCCCAAAAAATTTGAACGCAAAAAAAAAAGAGTTTGAACAAACCAACTCGTCACAAACCAAACTTGTGGCAAGTCAGACCAACCCGTTTTACACCTCTACTTGATGTCACCCTCGGGACGAAAATCTACTCCAATATGTCCAGCAAATCCGAACCCGGAAGGGATTCCAAGTCGTTGGAACGATAACCGCTCGGGAATAATTCAATCTGTTGATTTTCCAAGCAACCAGATAGAATCCAATGCTCGGACAGTTTGCTCTTTCCGAGGAAACTGTCCTGACGAAATGTTTGGCTCGCTGCAGGTAGCTTTGTCTAAAGAAGCCGCGAGGTACTCTGCAAGGTTTTGCCTGGAATTGCTCGGATTGTCGGAAGATTCAGGGACTGCAGGTTTTTTCGGGGCGATGGATTTTCAAAGCCAGGCTTGACGGCGGGTTGAGAAGCTACTCGAAGCATCCGAGCATCTCTTCCACAAGACTGGCTTGAGATGCTTCCACGGGTCCTCGGCCATGGAGTTATTGTAAAAACGTTCAGGCCCTGCTGCTTGGTAAGCCACATGATCATATTTCTGTTGCCTTCCTTCGTTTCTACAGAAGCCCGTCTTCATATTCCGTCCACCACCCCTGCCTCTTCCCCAACCATGAACTGTTCTTCCCCCTGAATAAGGGTTTTGCCGTACATAATTGGAAAATGGTGGAGCATAATCAGGGTTTAAGGGTCGATTAAAGTTTCCTCGGCCTCCAAATCTATCCCTGGGATCAGGGTTTCCTTGATAGCTCGGGAAAGGGCCAGCCACTGGACGAGGGCTCTGGAAGGGACGGAAATTACAGGTTGGAGATTTAAAATTATTCCAACCTTCCAATTGCGGTGTCCCGTGATATAGAGGAGATGGATGTGCCATTCCTCTCGGGCCGATATGAGGATTACCGCTATCATAGACATAGTGACCTGCTTGAAAACTGACATGACTGTTGCCCAAGGATCCTGTTGTATAATGCAAGGATCAGAAACAGAAGAAAAACACAAATGGAAAAGAAAGGCCGATGAAATCGAACAAGAAGATACATGGATCCGGTAACTCATGATGGTAATACTTGCCCCTTCAAAGAAAGTGAAACAAAAAACAGAACTATAATGCATAGCCACCCGTAACCTAAAAGAAACGAGACAAAACAAAGAATTTGATGTATCAAAAATTACGAAGAGAAGCCAGAACCTGGAATAGACAGTGGAAACTGAGAAACTAGCTCTGTTCGCCCGTTATTTTTGTTCCTCTTCTTGCTAGAAAAAGCAGATATAGGGTCCTTGTAAAAATCGAACCCTTGGGTTTGATATGACGTCTCCTGAATCAGGAATGTTCCGGGTGTCTCAGCCAATGGATTCGAGAGGTGACCTGTGTCTGTAGAAGTTTCTGCAGAAGCATCGGTCTGAGCAAATTCTGCGCGCATTGCTTGTAACAGTTCCCTCCTTTTCGCCGAATCCTCCATTTCTGACTCGGGTTTAGAGCTCGTCAGCTGCAAGACAAAAATGTCAAGTTTACCCGATAACAGCAACGAAAGAAACCAAATCTATTGGAGACATTCTACGAAGATGGACAAGGAAACGTTAAAGAGATTTTGAACCATTAGAAACACAAGCTTATTCACATATTTTCAATTCCAATGCATCTGTTTTAACTCATTCGTTGATGGTAGCACCACATATGCACACACATACAAACGAGTTCTTGTCCCAGGATCTCTGCTGAATCCAGATAAAGGACCTCTACGAATCCGTGCATTAATTAAGTAACACACGAATTTGAAGTGCAATCTCATCACTTCTCAAGCTCAACAACAAGATATCTTGCAACTACACAATAGAGCGAAGAGGATTTCAATACGTGGATTTCACAATTCATCGAACACTTGGTAGGCAAAACCCCATTATCCTCGTCACTTACAATCAACCGTGATTGGGACCCTAGATCAACCCACGAAATACTTCGTCATAAGCTCGGCAGCAGAAGATAACAAAGAGGAACAACGAATCCGACGCAGAAAACAGGAAAAAAGGAGAGGGAATTGAGGCATATATGAACCACCAAAATCAACACATGAAAAGCCACATTCTTTTTTGCAAAGATTTTCGGAAACGTACATGAAAACCCCAGAGAAGATCATATACGATATGGAGGAAATCGAAACAAAAAAGAAGAAGAAACCCGATAATTCGAAGCCAGAAGAGGGGAAAAGAGAGAGAGAGAAGAGAAAGAAGGTAAAATACATGGAAGCGGCGGGGAAGGGCCTTCGTGAGTTTTGTCCGGCGAGGTTTATTACACACCCAGATTTTATTAAAAGACAATTAAAACTCATACTTAAAATGATTTATTAAACTATAGAAATTAGACAAAAAGACATGAATACCAGTTTTTCCATTTATCTTTTTATTTATTTATTTTTTAGAACCTAAAAAATAAGTCGAAGTGAGACCATTCTTGTGCACAAAAGGGTTTGTCGGATATATCTGTGAAAAAGTTGAGAACTTTAGCACAGAATATATATATAATATATATATATATATAATATATATATATATATA